AGGGTGAAAGGGATAATTTGGTACATGTGTGTGGTGATGGGTTGTAATAAGTATTTGGGTGGTGAACATGATGTAATCTATGCAGAAATAGAAGTATAACGATGTACACCTAAAATTTATACAATGTTATAAACCAATGTTACCAAAAAGAAAAAAACACTTCAGAGTTCAGCTGGGACAAGGACAGAATGAAGGCAAAGTATGAAATTGGAGAGAGATTCTTGGTTAATAGCTATGAATACACACTGTTGTTATTATTTTCATTTTCTCGAAGTAATGTATATACACATTTAAAACAAAATAGTACAGAATAGCTTATTAGTCAATAAAAACTCCCCTCAAACAACTTTCTCCTTAAAATCAATTGTTTTTAATTATTTGTTTTTATTTCTTATGATGATTACCTTTGTATCTCTAAATAGTATGTTTGTACTACTCTACGTAGATTTATCAACTTTAGAAATTGTCTATCGACATCTCGTTTTGATAGATGATTCATTTGTGACCTTTTCTCTCAATCCTTTTCCCTCGGCCTTTCATATAAACCTTTACACCTTATTTCAACAACCACAGAGTATATCTCTAAATTCTCCACTCTGCAGGAGGTGGAGATTAGTGTTACCACCCTTCCTTCCACTTCTCCCCCTGCCCTCCATCTCTTTCTTCCCATCTTACTGCCTCTTAATCTCTGTCACTTGATTCTCCACTTTTACACTGCTGATATTGAAGTATCCATAAGCTCCATGACCATAATCAATTCCTTATTTTACTATTGGCTGATTGTAAGAGTGAATTTTTATTATTTACCATGTTATAGTTGCATAATACAAATCTTTCTGACATCTCCAATATGCCACTCAAAGAACAATATTCTCAGCATAAAGTTCAAATGGAATTCTCTTATTATACCTCACTAACTGTTGAGAGTTATCCCAAATTTGTGTTTGCCCCACATTTGTACATAGTTATACTGCAGTTATTTGCTTTTGCCTTTGGATTGTCTAATTGCTTTTCTCCTTTCCTTACTTTGTTTATATCATATCCTGCAGATTTTTGGATTCCATGTCATATTGAATATTCTGTTGTGTGTCCTTTTCTTTGGAGTCCTCCTTCCCAGAGTCCTCAGTCCTCCTACCTCATTCCGGACCAGCGTTTTGCAAGAGCTGTTACAATGTTCACTCTGGGACATTTGTCAGTGCTCTCCTGAGTATTGTCCACTGTTAGCCAGATCCCACATCTGTTGGTTTTTAGGTTTCTGCCTTCCTTTGCTGGATTGTTATTATTTTTTCAGATGACACTATGTTTGTGAATTGGTCAGTTTGGATGTAGCCAGTGATGAAGGCATTCTGATTCAGGGTTTCAGGATAAAGAATCATTGCTAGTGAAACACACCCAAGAGGTCAATGTGTACCCGGTTACTGGGACTGAACCAGTGGATCCAGAGACTGAGAACATGAATTACTTCTATTTCAGATCAGATGAGGACACAGTGTTTGACATATTTCCTGCCTTGGTCAGATTTGGCAAGGGATCATGTTTGGGCCAGAAGTTGAAAATAGGAAACATATTGTGATGAAATTGAAAAGAAAGGGGAAATTTAAAAGTAACCCAAAACCTCTGAAACTGAAGAGTAAATAACTTACTTTGAAAAATATTCTAACTCTTATGATTTCAGTAACTAAAAAGGAGAGTAGTATTATGGTATTAAATTAGCTTGTTTTTGTGGAATGATATTTTTATTGTGTTATTCTCTGACTGTTCCGAATGACAACTCTGCCGAGGCCTTCCATGAGTAGCCTATTTAAAGCAAGCCTCCTCTCCTTCCTCTGTCACCCTGTCTTTTACTCTGCTTAATTTCTATCCATAGCACTATCATTACTTTACATTATATTACATATCCATAAATAAATATATAAAATATTAATATATAAGTACATATTTACAAATAAATACATGAAGTATAGAGTGTAAACTACACTAACAAAAAATGTTTTTATCGTTTGCTCTAGAATAATGCATAGCATACAGTAGGTATGCTATTTAATTTGTTAAATAAATAAATGAATGAATAAGTGAGTGTTTCTGAAATCCCACATAAAAATATTTATTTTCTTTTTCAAAGTTCAAAAGATCTTTCAAATAGGTGAATATAAATACATACTCTACCTTACTCCCAGAATTCAAGTTATTAGAATTCAGATCCTAACCTGATGGGTACACACTAAAGAAAGAATTGCCACTTTCAAAATACAGCTCTCTTCTTTTCAGTGGCTGCTGTGTGTGGCGGGATGCGGCGGGGACAATCGCTGTGTAGTGCAGCTCATGGCAGCCTCCCTCGTTTTCTCCTCTTCCTTTTAGTACTACTTTTTCTCGATTTTGTATTGCTCCATTAACATTCTGCTGTAACTTCTCAGGACTCTTTTCAATCCACAGAAATAGGATGTAAAAAAGTTTAGAAAAAAGTTTTGGTGAGAATTAACTCAGCTGTCATTTTCTGGGAGTTCATAGTGGGTTAGGTACCACAAGCAATTATAACACTGTTCTCACAGGCACGTGCTGATTAACGACCTTATATATGCAGAATTAAATACACTTTTATTTGTATTTTCACAAGATAGTCTCAAGTCTGGAGATCCCTATGGTTTTCCTACAAATAAAAAAAAAAACAGATTGTTTATACTTAAAACCCACATTTTTCTCCTAGGACTATTTCTTCAACTTGTTGTTTTACTGGAGGAAGCTGAAAAAGGGAGATAGGAGGGGTGTGCAGAGGTGAGAAGAGTGCAGTTCTGAAGTTCTCAGTGGAACAGTTCTGTTTTCTGACACTATTTTTTTGTTGGTGTTTACAAAGGTTGATCATTCGACTTAGTCTCTGCCTGCACAGATCACCCACAACAGCAGATTTGGAGAAGTTCAGTGTGACATAGGCAGCACACAGAGTGACTAAATAGTGCTTTATCTGTTCAGTAATGCCCAAAGAAGTGACTTATGCTACTCTCAAATTTCCAAATGGTTCTCAGACAAAGAAACTCCAGGACAGCTACAGTCTCAAGAGAACAGGTAAGATCCCCCATGCAGGATCAGACAGACCGGAGAAGAGATTATTCAACTATACTGCTGAGTTCTCCTGTCTTCAATCAAGGCTCTTAGACTTCTCTGAGATTTCGATTGTGGAGTGCTAGTCCATAGTGAGGTTTCTATGCCAGGACCTACTTTTGTCTATCTTATTTAGTTTGTAAGATAATCATGGTGTGTGAAAAGAATTGTGGTCTAAGTCTCTAGATATCCAGATCTCTGATGTCACCAGAATAGCACTTCTTAATTTTTTTAAGCATTTTGGGATGATCTCACAAACAGGGGAAGGAAAAATAGTGATAGCAGGAGCATAACTATCCAGGAATTTTATTTAACTGCTAAAAGTTATCAAATAGACATACACTATGAGAATCATAGGATCATGGATCCCTAGTTGGTGATGATGTACTCAATATTTATTTATTTCCAAGAAGGAATAAGACTGAAGGTTCCTTATCTCAGAATAATATAATTTTAGTCCACATAATTCCAGTATATTTTATCCAGCAATTTAGTTCCCAGAAAGTTAGAGATAATAATGAAGCAGTAAAAGATAACTTTTGGAAATATCAAAATCATATTTACTAAAATTTCTTTATTGCTATGGGATACATGATTTCTTGTGCTTTCCCTGGGATTATTTTTATTTATAATTTGTTATTTACATTATTTCTATACATTTGTATTTGTCTTTTAATTTGTTTTTAAGTCCTTTTGATCTTAACATAAAATTATGTCTTCTATGTATATGTGAAATTTTTAATTTATGAACCTAAAACAAAGTATTTTATATTCAAATGATTAAGAAAAACAAAAAAGAAAAATCTGTTGTCAGAATCAATGCTGGGACTATCGGGATAGTTAGAAAGTAAAAAGACGACTAGAGAAAAGGTGATTTTTTTTTTAACACTTTCACTTTTTTCCCTGAAAGGATAATCATGGAGTGTCAGAGATGGAGCTGAAAATGGAACACGGAGAGTTGAGAGCACAGTTGAGGTGGCAGAGAACACAGCCGTGAGAGGTAAGATCTATTTGAATAAATAGAGCCACTGGGTCAAGGAGAAAATTAAGAAGGACACTCTGGAAGACACTGGGGCATAAAAATTAGAGATTACTTTTAAAAATTAGAGATATAAAACATTTTTGGGGGGCTGGCCCCGTGGCGCAGGCGGTTAAGTGCGCGCGCTCTGCTGCGGTGGCTCGGGGTTCACCGGTTTGGTTCCGGGCGGCCACCAATGCACCGCTTGTCAAGCCATGCTGTAGCGGTGTCCCATATAAAGTGGAGGAAGATGGGCACGGATGTTAGCCCAGGGCCGGTGTTCCTCAGCAAAAAGAGGAGGATTGGCAGATGTTAGCTCAGGGCTGATCTTCCTCACAAAAAAAAAATTTGAGAAAGGAAGTAAGGAGGATAAACAAAAGATGATAAACTCGTATCCCTTAGTTACAGGAAATCATCGCTTTTTTATTATTTTCTCCATCCACTCCTAGAGTTTTCATATCTTTTTCTCGTTTTATTCTTGTTTTTATAATATTAAACCTCATTGACTTATTCTTTCCATTTTTCATCATTTTATCCTTTTATTACATTTCATGGGTGATTTTCTTACATTATCTTCTAATTTTCCCATCAAAAATGTGTTCCTGGTATCATTTTATTTCCTACAAATGTTTGTGGTTGTTTTCTAAAGGCTTCTTTAATAGTAATCTATTCTTATGTGTGGATGCAGAATTTTATCTTACTTCTCTGATGGTTTAAAAAATTGTATTTTCAAGTCAACATTATTGACGTATAATTTAAATACAAAATAATGCACCCACTTTAAGTGTATAGTTCATCATATGTAAGAAATGTTTACCTATATGACTACCAAAATTAAGATATACAATATTTCTTTTACCCCAAAAAGACACCTTGTTTGCTTTTCAAGTTATTCCCACCACCATCAACATCAGTCTTAGTCTGAGGTAATCACTGATCTACTTTCCTTCATCCTAGAATATTCTGCCTCGTCTGGAATTTTATATAAATGGATTAAAATAACCTATACTCTTCTATGACTGGCTCTTTTCATTAATCATAATGTTTCTGAGATTCATCCATGTTGTGTGTATTAGTAGTTAATTCCATTTCATTGCAGATTAATATTTCATAGCATGGATATACCACAATATATTTATCCATTCACCTGTAGATGGACATTTCAGTCACTTCCAGTTTGCATTAGTATAAATAAAGCTGCTGTGATGTACAAGTGTAGACATATTTTTAGAAATTTAATTAGATAAATACCTAGGAGTAGAATTCTGGGTTGGATGGGGTATGTTTAACTTTCTAAGAGAGTGTCAAGGTTATTTTTCGTGTTTTCACTTCCATCAGGAATGTAAGATAGTTCTAGTTTATTTACAGAACTTTTGAAGTGTTCTTCTTGTGTTATCTCTGCTTCTTCTAAATTCCTTTTGTCTGTAGTTTATTTTTTTCTCAGTCTTTCATGTTGGCAGCTTTCTTCAAATGTCTGGTGATCTTTGGCTGCCTGTACTCATTTAAGAGTGTGACACCAAATCAATTTAGTGAGACCCTGGTATATGAGATGGGCTTCCTAAATGGTAGCCTTCACGGACTGGGACAATTCACTGAGAAACCCAGTTGTCAATATTTGTAAGGTTTTCTTTTCCTCTCTTGGTCCAGTTAATTGCTCTGGAGATGACTCCTCCAATACTCTGCCCCTGGTAGCCTTCTACCACAACGTGTAAGAGATGGTGCTAAGGAAAAATTCAGTTTTCCACCTATTGTAGGGAAAAACCCAGTTCTTCCCTGCTATGAGTTTCTTTCCTGTGAGTCTCCTTCACTATTCACACAGAACACTTCACTTCTGAAACTTCTGGTCATGAAATGTGTAGGGTTTTTTCCTCACATCAAGCAATTCCCTGTGACACCAGCTGGGTGTCCTACAATTTAACTAAATTCTAACGCTATCTACTTGGAGATAGTGTTAGATCCCACAGGTAAGGGCTCAGTCCCATAAGACTGTTCCCACCCTACTTCAGATGCCAATCACAAGTAGTAGGTCCCAAGGTTACTCACAACTTCTGTCCAGTTTGGCTACAAATTGGAGATTCCCATGACCCCCTCTTCAGGTTAGACTAATTTGCTAGAGTGGCTCACAGAACTCAAGGAAGCACTTACTTACATTTACCAGTTTATTAAAAGATATGATAAAGAATACAGTTGAAAAGTGAGATGAAGAGATACCTAGGGTGAGGCCTGGAAGGGTTCAAAGCACAGGAGTTTCTGTCCCCGTGGAGCTGGAGTTTGTCACTCTCCTGGTGCTGTGTTTGCCAGCCTGGAAGCTCTCTCTGAACGTGGTACTTTTGGGATTTTATAGAGGCTTCATCACCTATGCATGACCAATCATTAACTCCATTTTCAGCCCTTCTCCCTTCTCAAGAAAATAGGGGATGAACCTGAAAATTCCAAGCTTCTCATTATGGCTTGCTCTTTCTGGCGATCAGTCCTCATCCAGAAGCCATCCAGGAGCCCACCTAGAGTCACTTCATTAAAAAAAAAGGTTCTCCTAGCGCTCTTATCATTTAGGAATTTGCAAAAGTTTAGGAGCCCTGTCTCAGGAAAGGGGTCAAAGATAAATATTAGAACAAAAGATGCTCCTAGTGTTCTTATCACTTAGGAAATTACAAGGCTTTTAGGAGCTCTGTTCAGGAACCAGAGGCAGAGATTAATATGAATATTTTCTTTTATCTCACAGAGGGTAACTCAGTTGTATGAAGTGTGGGAGAAAATATGGGGTGAGGGGAGTCTATCTATATCTTACATAGACTCTCAGACACTTTTTCAGTTTTCAGGCTCACCCATACCACCACTTGGAGAGATGAAGTACCAGGTATCACCAATTCATGGAGCTTCTGGGGTTCTTAAGTGAGAATCAGCTTGCTTCTTTTGTTTCCTCACTGATGACTTTGGTTCAGTTTCTGAAGGCTCTGAAAGCGTTTATTTCTCTGTCATAACTGCCGGATAATTTCGCTGGAAAGAGTCTTGGCTGATAGTTTTTATCTTTCAGAATTTTGAATACTCCTAGCCTATAAGATTTCTGCTGGGAGGTCTGCTGAAAGCCTGATGGGTCTTCCTTTGTAAATTATTTTCTTATCTCTGGCCACCTTTAATATTATTTCTTTGTCTTTGACTTTTGACAGTTTTAATATTATATGCCTCAGATAATGTCTTTTTGCATTGATGTAATTAGGAGTTCTATGATCTTCGTGTACTTGCACGTCCACTTCGTTCCTCGGGTTTGGGAAGTTCTCAGCTACTGTTTCTTTGAATAAGCTCTCAGCTCCTTTGTCCCTCTCTTCTCCCTTTGGGATACCTATAATCCTTATGTTACTTTTCCTTATAGAGTTGGATATTTCTTGAATAATTTCTTCATTTTTTTTACATCTTAGTTCTCTCTCCTCCTCCACCTGGATCATTTAGAGGTTTCTATCTTTGAGCTTATTGATTCCCTTCTCCGTAAAGTCTTTTCTATTTTTTATGCTTTCTACATTATTTTTTATCTCATTAATTTTTTTCTTCACATCCAGAATTTCTGTTTGGTTTTTTTTTTCCTAGAG